CGGGGGGGGGGGAGGGGGGCGTCGCCGCACTACGCTGCCCGTGAGGAATCACTGGAAGGCCGACCGGCGGCAGCCTTGGCATTGATTCCCCGTGGAAAACCGAGGCGATGTAAGGACAACGAGGCGGGGGTCGCTGACTCGGCGGGCCCGTCGTTCTTTCGCGCCAAGAACGATTGCCCCGTCGCTCGTCGGGTTCGGCTTGGGTCCGCCTGCCCCTGGCGAAAAATGGACTCCTGAAACGTGGCTAGGCTATTTTCTCAGCGTCGGCGATAAAAAAATGACCCTGACACGGTGTGTAGGGGGCGCGGCTGGAGATGCTCTAATCTATGGCAAATCGATGAGGAGGTGCGCCTTGTAACAGTCATTGTTATTAAAGCAAGACTTATATTTAGGAACAGAGGGAGTATTATATTAGTATATTACGTATTATACAAGAGAGAAAATTAAGGAAAAGACAAGAGAAGGTAGCGAGGTAGCTAGAGTTGTTTGGCGATGATGGCCTTGAGCGCATCTCGGACGTAGGGGTAGCGGTAGGAGAAGCCGAGGTGGGTGGCCCTGGCAGGGAGCACCTTCTGGCCGTCCAGCACCACCGTGGCGCCTTCTCCCAGCAGGGCCTTGATGGCCAGCCCTGGCACCGGCAGCCAGGACGGGCGGCCCACCACCTGCCCCAGCCGGTCGCACAGCTCCGATAGCCGCACCGGGTTGGGCGCCGTGCCGTTGATGACGCCCGTGTAGGCCGGGTTCCGCAGGGACTCGTAGATGAGATCCACCAGGTCGTCCACATGAATCCAAGAGAACCTAGATAAATTGGAGATGCAGATTCAGTATTTGTATTTATACCTCCAAACAAGAAGAAGAAGAAGAAGAAGAAGAAGAAGAAGAAGAAGAAGAAGAAGAAGAAGAAGAAGAAGACGACCATTGTGTTCCTGTGCCGAGCGGCCCTCCGGCAAACATCATGAAGAGGGGGATCATCTTGGCCAGAGCGCCGCCGTCCTTGCCGAGGACGACTCCGATCCGAATGAGCACCAGCCGGACGTGCTCCTGCTTCACTTGCCGTGCCCGGCCCTCCCATTCTCGGCATACATGTGCCAGGTAGTCATTGCCTGATGGGCTGGATTCATCGAAGCTGTCCGTCTCGCTGGTGCCTGCAATTGCAATTCTTCTTCTTGTATTTTTCTTTTAATTTTTGGTTAAAAAAAGAAAAGATTGATTGTGCTTGCTTGCTTGCTTGCTTCATCAAATCAAATCAAATCAATTTATTAAGGATTCTTCTATTCTTGTTGTGGTTAAAAAAATTGATTGATTGATTAAGCTGCTTGCTTGATCAAATCAAATCAATTTAAGAAGAAGAAGAAGAAGAAGAAGAAGAAGAAGAACAAGAAGAAGAAAGTGTAGGTACCGTAGTAGCCGACGGCTGTTGCACTGACGAAAACAGAGGGGCCATTGCCATTGCCATTGCTGCTGGCACTAGTGCTAGTATTGATGTGATCCACAACCTAGGTTCAGTTTAATCCCATCCATCAAATTCAGTTCAACTGTTTATTCGGATGCATCCAGATTAAGGTGATTAAAAACGAGAGGACAGACTAAATTGAAGCATGCGGATATATGATGAAGTAGAGTAGAGTAGAGTAGCTACCTTTGAGGTGACATTGACTCGGCTCTGCAGAATTTCCTTCTTAACCTGCATGCATGTATTCATGGAGCTAATGTATGGGTCAAGTGAATTTGAAGACAAGACTAGAAGTAGGTAGATTGTTAGCACTAGTTCCAACCTCTGGTGACCACCTGGTGCTGATGGGCATTCCTGCGAGGTTGACAACACCAGTTGAGTCCCTGATGCATCGCTCCCAATCTCCCTCCTTGTCCGCGATGGTCACGCCCGGATACCTCGAAGCTGCATTCCATTTCCATTTCAATTTCCATTTCCATTTCCATTTGTATATAAGAACAAGGAGTGGTGTGGTGTGCTTACCAGGGAAAACAGAGGAGGCCTTGTTCTTGGAGGTGGAGCGTGTCAAGACGCACACCTTGTGATCCTCTGCTTTTTGCATTCAGTTTCAGTTTCAGTTTCAGTTTCATTTTCATTTTCATTTTCATTTTCATTCAGGCATGCGTGAGTCAGTCAGTGGGTGAGATGAGGTGCAAATTAAAAGAGCAGAGCAGAGCAGCGGAGATACCGGATAGGAGCTTGTCCACGAGCCTGCGTCCGATGAACCCCGTGGCTCCGGTGATGGACACAGTCATCATGGATGAGCTGGAGGAGACCTCATCGCTGCTTGTGGTTGAGCTTGAACAGAAGCAGCAGAATCCTCGCCTCTGTCTGCTAGTCCTCCTAGTCGGCTGGGCGGTGGAGAAGGAGGAGGAGGAGGAGGAGGAAGAGGGAAACAAGACGCGGATGGCCATTGCTGGCCTTCCCCCAGCTAGCGCTAGCGCCTGCACCAGGGGTGAGGGTGGGGGTGGGGATGGAGGTTGGATAAGGAAGCAAGGTTGGTTCTCTGCAGTGCACCACCAGCACCAGGATAGGACTCCTTCCTTTCTTTTTCTTTCTGGTAGGCTTTGCTTTGTTGGCCAGATATGCGCCAGCCACACGGCCACGGGGGCTACTGGTTCCACTCGAGTAAACCCTCAGAAATCCCACCGCGTCCGCAAACAGCAGGGTCAGTCCGCGGACACTTGTTCGCTGTTAGACTCTGTATACACTGGGCCGCCATACGTGGATGCTGAGGCTGCTGTGGCCGCGATCTCCTCGCCGTCGTTTCTATTCTCGTACCTCCTTCCGGTGAAGCTCAAGCCGGATAATTACTTGTACTTGCTCGCTCAGGTGCTTCCTCTTCTGCGCAGCCATTATTTGGAGGGGTTTGTTAATGGCACCCTGCCGTGTTCGCCGCCACAGCATCCAATGTTCCGTGCGTGGATCGCTCAGGACCAAGCCATCCTGTCGGCAATCCAGTCTTCCCTGGGTGAGGGTGTTGCCATGCTGGTCCTCTTCGCTGCATCGTCTCGCGAGGTGTGGGACCTCCTGGAGTCGAGTTTCTCGTCCCAGTCTAATGCTCGGTCTATGTCTACTCGTGCCAAGATTGGTGAGACTCGAAAGGACAACGGTACGGTGACCGCCTTCTACAACAAGGTCAAGAAGTTGGTCGACACCCTTGCTTCGATTGGAGAGCCTCTCCGCGATGCCGAGTTCACGGCCTTCATCCTCGCCGGCCTCGACAGCGACTATGACTCGCTCGCCGAGGTGATCAATGAATGCAAGAAGCCTATTCGCCCTCAGGAACTCTACAACCGCCTCCTGTCTAAGGAGCAGCGGCTCAACGCGCGCCGCCCTAACATCTTCATCGACTCCTCTGTCAACGTCGTGCATCGCGGCAAAGGAGTCGGATGTGGTTCCTCTGCAACTCCCTCCTCCGGGGGGCAAATCCGGTGTTGCCCCCCCTGCTCAGCAGCAGGCCACGCGTCCTGGCGCCTCGGCGGTCGTCATCGACGGCCGCGCTTGCGCCTGCTACATGGCATGTGGTGCGGCCCAGCCGTGCTAGCTCTGTAGCCTGCCCCGCCATGTCGCCTCCCGCTGTCATCGTCGTTTCAAGACGGACTTCCTCGGCCTCGGCAACAATGGCAATGGCAACGATCGTCAAGTGAACATGCGCAACAGGGACACACTCCCTCCTATCCTGTTGATCCTTCTTGGTACATGGATACTGGAGCCACAGCTCATGTCACGAACAAACCGGGCAAGCTTACCATTCAGCAGCCCTACCGTGGGCATGACAAGGTTCACACAGCTAATGGGGCAGGTATGCATATCTCGCATGTTGGTCAGTCATCTCTTCTCACAAACACCTCTAGGTCATTGCATCTTAGAAATATTCTTCGTGTTCCCACGGTTGCACATAACTTACTCTCTGTTCCTAAACTTACACAGGATAATAATGTTTTCTGTGAATTTCACCCATTTCATCTCTTTGTTAAGGATCGTGCTACGAGGAACATACTTCTTAGAGGTCGCTACCGCAGTGGCTTACATGCTCTTGATGCGCCCACCACCATCCCCGCTCCTACTGCTATGTTCCAAGTCTTCAGTGGTGTTCATGTGTCTCCTTCACTGTGGCACTCTCGCCTTGGTCACCCAGCATCACCCATTGTTCGCCATCTTCTCCACCGTCATGAGCTACCGTCAGTGTCTAGTAATAAAGATGTTGTTGTCTGTGATGCATGTCAGCAAGGCAAAAGTCATCGGTTACCTTTTTCTGTTTCTACACATATAGTCAAAACTCCTCTTGAGCTTGTGTTTTCAGATATGTCTGGGGTCCTGCCCAGCTGTCCGTTAGTGGACATGAATATTATGTCAGTTTCATTGATGCTTATAGTCGCTTTACTTGGATTTATCTTCTCAAGCATAAGCCTGATGTGTTTGATGTGTTCTTAAAATTTCAAGCACATGTTGAGTGTCTCCTTAATCATAAAATCATTCATGTACAGTCGGATTGGGGGGTGAATACCGCAATCTTAGTACTTTCTTTGAAAAACTTGGAATTGCTCACCGTGTGTCTTGCCCACATACATACCAGCAGAATGGTTCAGCTAAACGTAAGCATCGTCATATTGTTGAAACTGGGTTAACCTTGCTCGCTCATGCATCTGTCCCGTTTCATTTTCGGAGTGATGGCTTTACTACAGCCTATTTTCTCATAAATAGGCTTCCTTAGCGACTCCTTCATATGAAAAATCCACTTAAACTCTTGCTTGGTCAGATTCCTGATTATACGTTTCTTAAAGTGTTCGGTTGTGCGTGCTGGCCGCATCTCCGTCCTTATAATAATCGCAAGCTTGAGTTTCGTTCTAAAAAATGTGTCAAAGGGTATAAGTGCCTTCATGTCCCGTCTAACTGTTTGTATATTTCACGAGATGTTGTCTTTGATGAGCATGTTTTCCCTTTTCTGCTCTTCCCCCACCTGACACAAGTTCCACACCGCCGGTGCACCCATCCACTATATTGCCTGATCAATTTGTAGATGCTGCACATTCGCCCTCTTTTTGTCTAACCATGGTGCAGGTATTGGGAGATGTGCGCGGTTGGAGCTCCTAGACGAGGTTGATCCTCCGGCTCCCTCGTCCCCGCCAGATCATGTCGATCAGCAGGCACCCTGCATGTCCCATGCAACGTGCCCGCCCGCGCCCGCGGCAGCGGCCTCTGCACCACGTGCCACCACTCTGGCCTAGCCGCCGCTTGTGTCGGCTAACGCCTTGGCCCAGTGGACCGTCTCGTCTTCAACCGCGTCCCCAGCACCGACGCCTGGGCCGTCCCTGCCTGGAAGCCCTCCGCCATCCGCGTCGTCGCCTAGCTCGCCTAAGCTAGTATCACCCTCCAGTGGGTCGGCGCCTCCTGCTGCGTCCACACCATCAACGCCTCCGACTGCATCAACGATTGTCATGACGGATGTTGCGCTCTCCTCTCCATCGTCACTGCCTACCTCGCCACCTGCTCCGCCCCTGTGTTGCGTCCTCATACAGGCAGCAAAAGTGCGTTGTTTCTTCCTAAGAAGCGCACAGATGGCACGGTTGCCTGGCTTGCGACTTGCATAGTGCAAGTCCATTCGGACCCTACTACCAAGCCACGGCATTTTCAGGCTGCCCTAAGTATCCCTCACTGGCGCACTGCGATGGAACAAGAATACCGGGCTCTTCTCAAGAATGACACATGGTGTTTGGTTCCTCCCAAGGCTCGTGTCAACGTCACTGATTCCAAGTGGGTTTTCAAGGTAAAGGAACATGTCGATGGCTCTATCAAGAGATACAAGGCTAGAATGGTTGCTAAAGGCTTCAAACAGCGCCATGGACGTGACTATGAGGACACCTTCAGTCCGGTGGTAAAACCTACCACTATGCGGCTTCTGCTCTCACTGGCTCTTACTCGAGGATGGTCCCTTCGTCTGCTTGATGTTCAGAATGCTCTCCTTCATAGTGTCCTTGAGGAGGAGGTTTACATGCGCCAGCCTCCTAGTTTTGTTGCTCCAACTCGTCCACGGTATCTATGTCATCTTGTTAAGGCGCTCTATGGTCTGAAGCAGGCTCCACGTGCTTGGCATGCATGTCTTGGCACTACTCTTCGGGTTCATGGGTTTGTTCCCTCTATGGCTGATACCTCACTATTCCTTCTTCAGCGTCCTGAAGTTACTATGTATCTGTTGGTCTACCTTGATGATATCATCCTTGTCAGCTCCTCGGACTATGCTGCGGATCACTTGGTGTCTGCCTTGAGTGGTGACTTGGCTGTTAAGGATCTTGGGCAGCTTCACTATTTCCTTGGGCTGGAGGTGTTGCACTCTGGTTCTGGCTTGACACTTACTCAGTAGAAATACTCTCTTGATATTTTTCGACAGGCTAGTATGCTACAGTGCAAGACGACTACTACGCCTATGTCCTCTACTGATAGACTCTCTGCTCTCGATGGTTCTCTTCTCTCCGCTGATGAGGCTACTGAGTATCGCAGTATTGTTGGTGGCTTGCAGTACTTGACCATCACTCATCTTGTTGTCTCTTATGCTGTCAACCGTGTCTTTCAGTTTCTTCATGCACCTCGAGACTCTCATTGGACTGCAGTTAAGCGCATCTTGCTCTATATTTGGTTGACTGCTTCTTATGGCTTGCATCTGCAACCGGCCCCCTCTGGAGTTCTCTCTATGTTCTCTAATGCAGACTGGGCTGGGAGTCCGGATGACAGACGATCCACGGGGGGATATGCAATATTACTTGGTTCTATCTTGATCGCCTGGAGTGCTTGTAAACAAACAACAGTGTCCCACAATAGCACCGAAGCTGAGTACAGAGCTGTTGCAAATGCCACAACTGAGCTTATTTGGATACAGTCTTGAGTTGAAGATCTCACACAAGCAATTGCCGGTCCTTTGGTGTGATAACATTGGTGCGACGCATTTGTCTTCAAATCCAGTCTTTCATGCTCGCACCAAACACATTGAAGTTGATTACCATTTTGTCAGGGAATGTGTTACCCAGAAACTGCTTCTTATCAAGTTCATATCCTCAAAGGATCAACTTGCTGACATCTTCACAAAGCCGGTACCTCTTCCTTAGTTTGAAGGTTGTAGGTGCAATCTCAACCTGGTGAATTCTTCAGAGCTCGGTTAAGATTTAGGGAGGGTGTTAGACTCTGTGTATACTGGGCTATTAGTGTCCCCACCTGTAATTGGATTGTACATCATTATGTACTTTCTATATAATACAAACGTCACCCCATGTTGGAAATTTGCCACAAAACCCTAAAACCCTTGTCTAATATTCGTCAGTGCAAAGGACCTCACTAACATCCTCG